TCACCTTCAATTCCTGCTGACCGACGGACGTCCACGTTCTTTGTCTAGTTAGATTGGTTTGGTTTTAAGTAAATGTTTTAGTAACGTTCCTGGTTCTCTGGGTTATTACCCGTCGCGCACGCGAGCCCAATGGGAACGTAACAGTGGTGACCCGGTAAAGAACTTCAACGCAACCAACCGAACCAGCCATCATGACGGACAACGATGCGACGAGCTCCACTGGGGGCATTTCGACGGTCACGTTGAAGTTGCCTCCCTTCTGGCCAGCTGATCCGCAGCTCTGGTTTGTGCAGGTTGATTCACAATTTGTGACTCGGCACATCACAGGAAACATGACAAAGTACCACCACGTCGTGTCAAGCCTACCACCTGCCATTGCCACAGAGGTGCGGGACTTGCTTATTTCACCTCCAGAAGAGGATGCCTACAACACCCCCAAGGCCCAGCTTATCGGACGGACAAGTGCCTCAGAGCAAAAGCGTCTTACAGCTCTTGACAGCCGAAGAACTGGGCGACCGGACCCCCACCCAGCTACTGCGCCGACTGGAGCAGCTCCTCGGGGAAAATGCGACCACCATTGACCAGCCCCTACTTTGTGAGTTGTTTCTGCAGCGGATGCCTTGCAATGTGAGGATGGTCCTCGCGTCCGTAGAAGACATTGGTCTGGCTAAGATTGCTGAGCTTGTGGATAAAATCATTGAGGTCTCGGCACCGTCAACCAGCATCTCAGCGATCCAAAGTAGAAGCATTCCGGATGAGATGAGCGAGCTGCGAGCGGAGGCCCGCCGTCTCGCCGACATGATGGCGAAGCTGCAAGCTTCACGCGGCCGCAGCACGTCACGCGGACGCCCACGACGCAAGCCTCGTTCATCGTCATCGCATTAACGGTGGCAAGCGCTCCCACCAACGCAGACAGCCGCCGAACTTTGTTCTTCTTGTCGGATTGCAGCACTGGTGTTCGTTTCTTGGTAGACACGGAAGCAGAAGTCAGTGTCATCCCAGCAACCGCGGAAGAGCACCGGCGCCCCAACACGTCACAGCTCTGCGCCGTCAACAACACGGCCATTGCAGGGTACGGTGAGCGCTCCTTGGCCCTTGACTTCGGACTGCGGCGCACCTTTCGTTGGGTTTTTGTCTGCGCGGATCTTCCCCACTCCATCATCGGGGCGGACTTTCTGACGCACTTTGGACTGCTTGCGGACGTCAAAGGCCGACGCCTCCGCGACAAAACAACTCGTCTGACGGTAAAAGGAATTGCCTCGTCTATTGCTTCCATCAGTACCACGTTCGCAGTTCCAACGGATGAGACGCCGTACACCAAGCTACTGGCAGAGTTCCCGGAGCTGACGCGTGTTGGACCCAATCAGCGTCCCATCAAGCACACCGTGACACACCACATCGAGACGGCGGGTGCTCCGGTCCACGCGCGTCCACGCCGACTGCCACCAGACAAGCTACGAATCGCCCGACAAGAGTTCGAGCATATGCTCGTGCTGGGCATTGTCCGCCAGTCAGAGAGCTTTTGGTCCTCACCCCTTCACATGGTTCCGACGTCCACACCAGGGGACTGGCGCCCATGTGGAGACTACAGAGCCCTCAACCGGAACACAACCGAAGACCGGCACCCGATACCCCACATCCACGACTTTACAGCATCGCTGGATGGCGCTACTATCTTTTCGAAGGTTGACTTAGTACGCGCCTACCATCAAATTCCCGTTGAGCCCCCGGACATCCCCAAGACAGCAGTTACCACGCCCTTTGGATTGTTCGAGTTTCTCCGGATGCCCCTTGGGTTGAAGAATGCAGCACAAACGTTCCAGCGTTTCATGGACCAGGTGGTGCGTGGGCTGCCGTTTTCCTACGTTTACATCGACGACATACTCGTGGCAAGCACATCTGCCGAGGAACACGTCGCACACATAAGACTGCTCTTCGCACGCCTCGTCGAGTATGGACTCGTCGTCAATGTGAGCAAGTGTGCTTTAGGGAAGCTGGAGCTTGATTATTTGGGACTTACGAACAACTCTTCGGAGATCCGCCCACTTTCCATCAAGGTGCAAGCCATCCAGGAGTTCCCGAGGCCGTCCACCAAGAAGCAACTCCGGGAGTTTCTGGGGTTGGTAAATTTTACCGCCGTTTTTTCCCGGGCTGCGCCACCAAGCTTGCACCTTACACAGCATGCTTTCGGGCAACACTAGCTCAGAAAACCGAACTCGCATGGGATGCCTGCACCACATCGGCATTTGATCAGTCCGACAGCTCCTTGCAACCAACACCATGCTCTCTCACCCAAAGGAAGGAGCCCCACTCTCAGTTGTCACCGACGCTTCAGATATCGCTGTTGGTGCGGTGCTTCAGCAGAACGTGAACGGACACTGGCAGGAGCTTTCCTTCTCTCGGAAGCTGACACCCACAGAACAGCGGTATCGTACGTTTGGTCGAGAGCTCCTTGGGGTATATTTGGCACTACGGCACTTCCAGCACATGGTGGAAGGTCGGCAATTTTTGTATACTGACTGACCACAAGTCTCGTCCACGCGTTCCGGTCTTTGAGACCAGACGGAGGAAGTCATTCTCAGAGAGAACTACGACAGATGTCCAGCTTCTCTGAGCTCACAAATGACATCCGGCACATCCATGGTGCTGAGAACGTTGTACCGGATGCCCTTTCACGAATAGGTTCCTGCACGGTTGAACATTCAGCCGCCATCGACTTCGCCAAGCTGACTGCAGCGCAGCGCGAGGACGCAGAACTAAAAGAGCTGCGCACATCTCCCGGCCGGCTTGTGTTCGACGAGATTCCACTTCCCATGTGTCCCACCAACATCATTTGTGATACTTCGACAGGATCGCCGCGCCCGTACGTCCCGGAACAATTTCGTCGGCAGATTTTCGACGCCTTTCATGGGCTATCCCATCCTGGCATAAAAGTCACACAACACCTTATAACATCCCGGTACATCTGGCCCAGTATCAACAAAGATGTGCGTCACTGGGCCCGCACCTGCTTACAATGCCAGCGCGCAAAGATCCACCGTCACACGGCAACGCCATTAGGAACCTTCGCCCACCCAAACGCGCGGTTCGACAATATCCACATAGATATTGTCGGACCGCTGCCACCATCACAGGGGCAAGCCTATCTGTTGACGTCCGTGGACCACTGTACACGCTGGCCTGAAGCGATTCCGCTGCCCCACATCAACGCGGAGACCGTGGCGCGTGTGCTCGTGGCGCAATGGATTTCAAGGTTTGGTTCGCCGTCCACGATCACCACGGACCGAGGCCGGTAGTTTGAATCCAACCTTTTTTCCAACCTCATGGAGCTGCTTGGGTCAAGAAGGATTCGAACCTTAGCATACCACCCCGCGAGCAACGGTATGGTGGAGCGTTTTCACCGTCAGTTGAAGGCTGCTCTCAAGGCTCACCAACGACATGTCTGGGTGGATGTGCTGCCTCTCGTGTTCCTCGGCATCCGCACGTCAATCAAGAGTGACATCGGCTGCAGCGTGGCTGAGTTGGTATACGGGACCACCCTTCCGCTCCAAGGTGAATTCTTTGCGTCAACTCCATCCGACACCTGACAGGATCCCGCAAGCTTCGCCACCATACTCCGAGAGGCCATGAAGCAGCTTCGCGTCACAGCTCCTCGCTTAAGCCGTGGCCAGTTCACTTTCATCAGCGAAAAACTGGAAACTGGAACCCATGTTTTCTTGCGGCATGACGCCGTACGAAAACCTCTCCAACCACCCTACGACGGCCCGTACAAGGTAGTGCGGCGAGGGTCAAAAACAATGACATTGGACATCCGAGGACAGTAGGAGGTTGTTAGTTTGGATCGTGTGAATGCAGCTCATATGGACAGTCTGACATTTGGGCGCACATACGGTCACCCGTGAAGAAGGAGACGAGCAGACTAGAAACGTCAGGCACGACGAAGAAATTCGTTAGAATTAGACTTCAGAAGTTTTTGAAGAGTCCGTTTTTCGGCAAACAAGTATGAATAAACATTCGCCGATCTCGAACATACGAGTAAACGTTTTTTGATGTCAAACATACAAAAATTGGTGGAAATAAAAGCGCGGATTTATGTAAATGTTTGCTCACAGCGGAGGCCTGACGAATGTTTAAAAATGTAGAAAAAAACCTCGTTTCTTAGGTGTTCGTCGGACGCTTGCTCTTAGCTGGGAATCACCACCCCACCAGTTCTGAATAAGTGGAAGCATCGACCTCGGCAACCAGTTGCAGCCGGGTTTTGTCTGTTGGTAGATCAACACCGCAATTACGTTGTTCTACTCGGGTGAGAACTGGACGACAGTGTTCGAAACTATACTGGTGGTTTCCGTTGGTTTACATTGATAAAGAAGCCATTAAGATAAAATTACCTTCCTCGTTCAACACACGCTTTGCTTAATGTCAGTTCGATATTTGTAACTGTATAGAGCAGTGTGGTCTCAAGATACAATGTAGACAAAGGCTCCTGATGATTACGTAATGGCTACCCGAACATAGACCGAGGTTGGGCCTCGTTTGCCGCGATTGGTAAGCACTATTGCATTATGATAACCATGAAGTGCTATAAAATTTTACACAAATTGTAAATTAAACTTGATATCTTAGCCCTTTATTGCGTTTTTTTTTTTTTTGTTCATAGAAATTCTTTTTTTTTTTGGCCTGCGTACAATAGAAGTTAGCAAAATACACCTATATCATTAAAATAAATTAATACCGAGAAGCGTCCGCCGGCATTTTCTTATAATAATCAGTGGAAAATCTACGGCCTAATTATGCCGAACTGACGACATGAATTCATGTACATACTAGGAAACGTTCAACGGAGAACCTCGAGTAATTTTTGTTTTTCCCATCGTAAATGAAGGCATCGTGCCAGCTGCCATTTTGGTTGGCTACACTTACCAACCGCTTATTTGCTTCCTTTGCAGAAGTCTGCAGTGCAGTAAATTAATTATCGCATTTCTTTTTTTTTCCCCTTGTAGATGCAACTTCAAGTCAGACACCGTCGGTCACCTTTCACTCTGGCCACGTGACCGTCGACAAAGGAAGCTCTGCAGACCTTGTCTGCCTCGCTCAGGGATCTCCGCCGCCCAAGTTCAAGTGAGTGGCCACCTCCGGATGTTTTCGTTCCATAGTTGCAGCACGTCCTATGCAACATTGCTTGCAACAATGAATCAAATTAAACGGCTCCCAGGTACGAAAAAGGCCAATTATACTTTTTTTTTTACATCAAGTTGGAGCCCAGCCGTAGGTACAATCGAATGCTACCGAAATTCGTCGTCATGCACACGTCGTCTTTGCGGGTTTGGTCTCGCCGGCTAAACCAATCCTGAGTAGTAAATGCAACGTAATACTTCGGCTCCTTTTTTTTTTCTTTGCGCGTGGCTGATTTGGTTGGCGATAGCGAACACGCAAAAAACACGAACACCGTGACAATGAACTTTTGGCGCTGTTGATTGACTCCGCCGATTCGTAACTTTGACTGCCGATCGGACTTGACGTGAAACATAGTTTAAAAGTAGAAAAAAAAGTTAAGAAAAGTTACGATCGGAAAGAGGCGCAACGAATCTGGACACGGCGCAGGTGGAGGAACTCCCTTTCCAGGATCGTCCTATGCAGCGTCTTAAACCAGCGCCCCCGCACTTGCACGATATCACAAACACCAATCAGCGTCACAACTTAACTAGGGCCACAGAACTTTGTTTTTTTCCCGCCGCCTACAGGAAGTCAATGGTGACCGGAGATTGAGCACCAGTAATGAATCAGGACGCGTGCTCTCATGGTTTGAACACGAGTCCAAGCCAAACGTGGATGAAGCACTTGCTTTATTTATTTATTTCGAAATACTATGAGTCCCACCTCGGACAATGGTAGGGAGGACAGTTTTATACATTACGTTAAAAAATGAAACAACAAAAAAAGCACTATACATCTTGGAGAAAAAAAAACACTGAAACAGGAGCAAACAAAACCTTAACTAGATTAAGGCCGTCGATGTTATACAGCTTCTTCTGGCTTACAGTACAAACATTACAATGACGGATCCTACAGGAGCGCAAGTGGGTCACAATCGCGGTCACTGTAAAGTCGTTTGAAGCCACGCTCTAAAAAAACGAAATAGACGTAGCTGCAATATAAACACTATTTCACCCTGCTTTCCGGTTAGTGATGTGGAAAATTTGAAACTATGGGCTTGCTGTATAGGAGGTCTTGGATGGTGTCAACACATCTAAGCGGGTCTATGATTGAGCGGTGTTTTGTTTCAGACCACATGGAACTACGATGGCGTGGTGGTTTCTCTCTGAAGGCTAAAATTTGTTGTCTACTTTGCGATGATCCCCATAAAGAATAAATAAGCATCTGTAGAGGCTATATTTCGCCGACTAAATTGTGACTATCCTTATAGCAAGTAAATAAACATCGAATTTCCGACGTTTTCTTGTAATGTAGATGGTCATGATCAGCACGGATAGCCACTTCTGTTCAGGTCTCCGCCGTGGAGGCCACTCCTTGCTCCTGTGGGGCGTTGTGAAACGTTTGGCGCAGTGATTGAGCGCTTCGTCCCGCCACCTTCGCATGCACGGGATAAACAGCGGAGAAAGGCACAAAATATTTATTCCTTCACAAGTCCTTCCATTTTCACAGTGTTTTAGCGTCAAGCTCAAAAGCTTCGGGTCTTGGGTTTGGTTCTTTTTCGAAGATGTGTTGAATTTCGTTCTTTCTTCGCAATTGATCCAGTTTCCCCTCGCACCGGCATACGCGGGAGTTTCGTGTTACAGATAAGCATTTCCAGAGGTCGGCTAAAAAAATGCTATCTCTTAAAAAAAAAAAAAAAAATGAAAAACACGTAAACGCATACTTACAATTTCCGTGATAACATTGCCAATTTTCTTCGGATCAAAGCAAATTTCAGCGAGGTAAAAGGTTTCTTTGGAATTACGTTATCTATATTTGTTTCAGGTGGTACAAGCGGCAAGGGCAGCGTCTGTTGCCGGTCGCGACGACTCCTTCGACGTCGGCATCTCCTACACAGATGGACGGAGTCCTCCATTGGAGCGGAAGCGTGCAGCTAGATGATGCTGGACAGTACGTGTGTGTTGCGTCCAACAACTTCGGGGAAGCACGAGCCAGTCTACAACTCTCTGTTCACGGTAATAATGCTGAATACACGCGTACCTTACATGGCAAAGGCAGATAGTACCTACCCTAAAACGTTTGCTCTTTTTTCTACTACTACTAATACTAGCCGGTATGCGTTCAATTTGAACCCATTCCAACTAGTCCAGTTATATTGTCTATTAATACTAGCTGTTTTAATGATATGATCTCAGATGTAGGTGTGTGACGTGACGCGCAACGAATGAAACACATTGTAGAAGAATCTGGAGTTGGGCAAGTTGGTACATCTTAGATTAGAAAAGCGCCAGAAAACAAAGACAACAGAAAGAATACACGAAACGATGCGCTACTGTCAACTGAATTTTTATTCGGAAAAACAAACCTATATATACACAGCCAAGCAACCATTTGCTTTTATTTATCAATTCATCTCACGAGAAGTTTCACGCTCACAAATAACGTGTTTACCGATGGACAGGACACGGACATACACATTAGCAAGAGTCGACATTCGAAGAATATATCGTACGTACCACACGATGCAGCGTTATCTGAAAATAAATTATTTGAAAAAGGTCTCAAATAACACAGTCACAGTCGATGACAGTTATATCTTGACGATCGGACGGAATGCAAGATGAGTTCGTTTTGGGGCAGGTTGTGGGGAGAGCTTCCTTTTTTCACAACAGCACCAAGGCATAGGAACTAACGCGACTCACCCGTTTCCCGCCCCAACCCGGACAACTATTTTTGGAGATGACTGACGATTCTACGTGGATTATATCTGAGAGGGGGGAGAACAATGTTCGGAAAACCGCGTCGAGGGCCGTTCGATGTGCTTCACCACCTTTGTTTCCCGTAAATGTCTAGCAGAAAAGCTTGAATGGCAGGCATTTACCGGCCCTATTTCTCACAATGGAAGGTAACACAGAAATGGTACGCAGCACGCATAAAAAAATAAGTGGAAACTTTCAAGATGGGGCGAGAAAACGTCGAATGCAAAACCACAAAAGCGTAGGTAGAGAACCGCGCTGAGCGGGTCTTCACAGCTCAAGAGAGTGGCAGACAATTTCTAGCTGATAGAGGGCGCGCGAGTTGCACCAGCCGCAACAGCATCAGCAACATGGCGGATGCCTAGGAGCGTTTTTTTTTTGTTTTTTTTTAAACGTGTATACCTAATTACATTTTACAGCGGCAGCTGCTACGGGCCCGTCTCCCGGTTGTGCGACGGCGTGAGCGTAAACGCATTCAGTTTCCCCGCTAAATTTAGAGGAAAAATTGAGGATAGGTGACCTATGCACCAATTCAGTTGCCCCACTAAATATGGTCGGAAAATTGTTGACACGTGACCTGACGTCACGGGACTTAGACAAATTCAAGTTCCCCGTTAAATATAGCCGAAAAATTTACCTCACGTGACCAGTGCACTAATTCAAATTCCCCGCTTAATTTAGCGGGAGAATGACGTCACGTGACCTCACCAATCCAGTTTCCCCGCTAAATTTGGCGGGAAACGTGATGCCACGTGTGCTCTACACCAACTCAGTTTCCCGACTAAATTTCGCGGAAAAATTTAGCGACGGCTTGAGCGTAAACGAAAGTAAACAAAAACAAAAAAACGCATATTTACAAAGGTACTGGCCATCCCATACGCACGTTCAAAACTTTCCACTTGTACGCTGCCACCTCGTCTAAGTTACAAAAAAACAAAATACAGGTACTTGAGACCAATTTCCATATCTTCGAGTAATAATATCAGTGATTAGAACATTTCAGTTCACTTCCGCTTGCCCAGAAGTATAGGATACCTCTGATGCCACGTGATAATGGCCGCTCTGTTTCGTGAAAACAATTCAGAAATACAAAATTGCTGCTCACTTTCTTATTGATCTAAGGCGTTTATTCTCTCTCTCCAGCGCAGGAAAAAGGCTTTATAATCCCTGGGAGGATGAGAACGACCGTGAGCTTCTTCAGTTGTCCCACCTCCAGCGCGAAGTTCCTATGAAACACACTTCGGCGTCTTGTGAGCGTCGAGCATGCTGGCGCAGCCAAAACAGGGCGGAAGGCACAAAGTGTGTGTGGGTCCGGGCATTCGAAAAAAGCGTCCTGTTGTCCTCATTCTGTCAGGGTCTATAGTGCGTGCACTGTCTGCACACGCGATCGTGCTGAAGAGTAGCATTTTTTTTTTCTTCTTAGAAGGCGTTCGCGCCTAATATTCGCAATTTCGTTTGCGTTTTGTTTGTCCCAGATTTCGTGGGAGTCTTCGTCTGACCTAAAGAAATAATCACTGTAAAGAATACTACTTTCACTTTATTTCAATGAACTACTGCAGCGATTTGTAATTTCTATGATCGTTTTGTGGAAACCACGCTTTAATGAAACAATTGGGTAATCATAAAGAATGGTATTAGAAGTGAGATTCCTGGCACTAAGTTTTCAATTATATTATATTTGATAAATAAACAAAGCAAAGTGATTGTCACTACGTTGCAAACTCACCAAAAAAAAATGTGTCGGTACTGACAGTATACTGCTCCCCCCCCCCCCCCCCCCTCGAAAAAAAAAATAGAGACAGCAGATATGTTTTACCGCTCATGAATGATTTCCAATCCTTAGAGAAATACGAAAGCGGAAAAACAAAATCTAAGATTTACGCTGACATGACTGGGTCAGTGGTGGCCGCTGGAACGCTACTTCGGCCCCGGACAACGCAAAGGACTCATTATTCGCAGATCCCCTCATTGTGTCTGCCTCATGTTATATCTGTCGTCCGTTCATATCAGTTTATTTCCTCAGCTGAAGGCCACAGAAAATACATCCCTTCCTCATTGCCTTTTTTGACATTTCATCCTTGTTTTAACTGGACAGACAGATTCCTGCCGTCGATATCTTTTTGGGGTTGGAAATACCCTTTCCGAGTCATTGTCGAACGTTGAAGCAGCGCTCGTTTCTGGTACGAGCTGAGAGGAGTTTACACTGAATGCTGACGCAGTCATCGTATCCGGTGCAAGCTCAGTGCACGTGACGAAACAATGGCCGACTGGGATGACTGACGCATTAGCTACAGTATGGCTAGCCCTTTCTGATATGATAAAATCTATGAAGGGGAGGCTTATTTAATATACCCTTTCAGTTTTGCTTGGTTAGGGTTGTAGGCCACAACCGACCTGGTTGCAGCAGGTTTACCAACAAACTGGTAATCCTATAAATTACCTTTAATTACCTTATTGAAAAATCCACTATATCTTTTCACTATCCGGATTATGGAACCGGAAATTTGTTTCTCGAAGCCCGAAATCAAGATTACAGACAAAGGAATAATTTCTAAAAAACCTAAACTCCAGATAGAGTCCGGATAGAATCCAGATAAATTTCCGGTTCCATAATCCGGATAGCGAAAAGTTACACCGGGCTTTTCGGTAGGGTAACGAATGTTACTTGCTCAGGTTTGTTAAAACATTCCGGTCGGCATTGTTAAGTAATTGAGTTTCCTCTTTGAGCATGACTACCTAAGCTTTCTAATCTGTACCAGCATGTTCTCCTCTATTTTAGCGGTGTTTGTGTCACCAGGAGGAACACTTCGTTTTTTCCAATCAAACTTGATGCCAGCAGGGCCTACGCGAAGCAGGGAAGGGGCTGTGCTTAAGGGGCCCTGGAAGGACTTTTTTACTCTTTTTTATTTGCACCGAAATTGAGAGCACTGAACGTAGTAACTTAGTGAAACTTTTCTTTTCTCGAAATTTGCTTTATTTTAAAAGTTATAGGCAAATTAAAATTACAAAAACAAGCAAAAAATAACCTCCCTTATGACGTCCTTGGTTGCTTGAGTGGCCGTGAACTAGAGGAGGGGTAGTGAGCTCATCAAGCTCTCACGGCTGCCGCACTCCGCGTCGACGGCGCGAGAGGGCGCCACTAAAGCGTGTTCTGGATAGGCTGTATGCAGCGGGCAGCCAGAGCGGCTCTCAATGCGTTTGCTGCGTGATTTAACACTAATTCGGCATGACACTTGATTGGTCGCAAACGACAGCAGACGCGGGGTAAAGATCAGTTCAGGATGGGAGCCACTTCGTGCTGCCATACCGCGAAATGGCCAAACCGCAAGACAAAGCTTCTCGCCGAAGGCCTTCGGAACGCTCGGAGCCGGCCGCGTCCTCCTGTCCATACGACCGCAGCGCCGCCGCGTACATCCCGGACCTTTCTGTGTCAGCGCCTGATCCCACTACTCTTTTTTAGTATGCGCCGCCTTTTCCTCCGCTTGGTGGCGGGTATGTCGACGGGTCATTTCTTGTTTCCGTACTTTATAATCTGCATTCGTCTGTTTTCTGATCTAAAATACTGAACAAAAACTACTTTTATAAACAATTAAAACGGTTCGCGCCACTTATATTTTGTATTTCGACTAAAAATAAGCTTTTAGCGGCTCTGACCAGTAGTAAGCCCAGGACCAAAGACGTCACATTTTGCGCGCTTTCAGTACCGCGGGTCGCCCGCGTCGGTGGAGGAGGTTTCCGCGCCATCCGGTTAAAATATGACGCAGTGATATTTAGTTTTTTTCTCCGTGCCCGCTGGCTTGCCCGAACCCTAAGAGACGTGGAAACCGCAAAAAAGGTTGACGGTAAAATATGATTACAAGGCCCCTTTAACATTGTAACTTCTTACTAGTAACTGTATCACTTTAAAACTGCGCTTGTGTTAGTCTGTCAGAAGACTTTAAACGATAAGGAAATTGATCTAGAACTTATTAATTAAGTAAGTAGCAACAACTTTTAACCAAATAGGTACAAGTCTAATGCTGCCCCGCTATACACTCTGAATATAAACAGTCATCTTTACTGAATGTGCTACAGTCAACTGACAAATCAAGGACGACAGGGGTGCGTGTTTCAAACACCCGGCTTCCAGCACGCGCTCCATGCCTTCCGTCATGATTTGCCTCCGCGCGCGCGCGCAGGAAATTTACGACACGCCGAAGCCTTTCTAGGATACCTTGGGAGCTCGAGCTGTATACAGAGCTTCCTAAGCTTCTCCCTCC